GTGACAGCATCAGCAGTGCCGGTATCAGGTCAGTAACTCTAGTACAAATCATATTAATAAAAAATTCCAAGTCTTCAGTGGGAATAAGTCACAGCAAAATCTTAAAAGTGAAAATTTCCTTACAGGGTTGTGCGTTCAAGGTCTGGTAATGTTATGAATGATTCTTGAGACACTGTGATTTTAATACCACCCACAGCACCTTGGTGAGTAGACCTGCAGTCTTACCAGTTGCTAAAATCAGGCGAATGCATTCTTTGAGAGGGAATATGATTTTCTGGGCCCTTGTAGTCTCGCGATGAACTGTCTCAAATTGTAGTGTAGAAAAGCTGCTGTAAACCTTGGTAATAGATACCGAGAAAATGGTTTAGAAAGACACGCGACATGATTCACTGTATAAGGAATCTCAAATATGAAGAGCCTTGAATCTGCACTCTATTAGAAAATGTTTCGGTCCTGGGACCTTGATCACATCTAACATACAGAGGTTAAAAATACATTATATACAGGTGGAGAGTGAGGTGTGAGTGACGCCATGTGTCACTCGCACCTCACTCTCTGCCTATATATATTGTCTTTCTAGACTCTGTGTTAGAAGTGATCAAGGTCCCACAACCAAAACATTTTCTAATATGTCCTAGTGTTTGTTCACGTGTCTTTCTAAATCAGAAAAGCTTCTGCTGCTGCTGCTGCTGCTGCTGCTGCTGCTGCTGCTAATGCCTTACTTTCATCGTCTAAAAATTCGGTGTTGCAAAGTCAATAAGCTCTGAAAAAATATGCCATTCCTCTCGTTTTGTCTTCCTGTAGTAATGAGAGAAATGTACAAGGTCATTACTGGCCTTACAGTAAGACTTAAGGGGCACGTCAGTTCCCATGTCTTCTAATAATACGTTATTTTTCCCCTACAATCTACCTTGTCCATAATGACTATCGCATTTGCTTTGTCTGCTTTCGTAAGGTGAAGTCCAGGATCTTTCCTTAATTCATTGTATAACTTAACAAATCTTTGAGGACAATTGTGTTGCAGAGGTCTGAGGAAAGCTCAGATTTGTTAAGTTATACCATGAATTAAGTAAAGATCCTAGACTTCACCATACGAAACCAGACAAAGCAAATGCGATAGTAATTATGGACAAGGCAGATTATAGAGGAAAAATAAACACGATATTAGGAGACATGGAAACTCACGCGCCTCTTAAATTTCAGTAATTTATTTGTTTTACATATTCAGACACCTCGAAAAAAAAAGGCAAGTGTGTTATTCTTCTCTTCTTCAACATAGAAGGTTGAAACCTCTTCAAGGCATTAATCTTATGTTTTTAAAGTTTTAATCTTAGTTTCAAGGTTTTAATCTTAGATTTTCAAGGTATTAATCTTAGATTTTTTACAGTTTTAATCTTAGTTTCAAGGATTTAATCTTAGGTTTTCAAGGTTTTAATCTTAGATTTTCAAGGTATTAATCTTAGATTTTTTACAGTTTTAATCTTAGTTTCAAGGATTTAATCTTAGGTTTTCAAGGTTTTAATCTTAGCTTTTCAAGGTTTTAATCTTAGGTTTTCAAGGTATTAATCTTAGGTTTTCAAGGTATTAATCTTAGGTTTTTCAAGGTTTTAATCTTAGGTTTTTCAAGGTTTTAATCTTGGGTTTTTCAAGGTTTTAATTTTGTAGGCGTAATAACAAGGATGTTCACGAAGGATGATGTCAGCCATTACGAGGCCTGGACACAAAACCAAACACTATTATTATTACATTCATGGGGAAACGCTAAACCCATTGGGGTTATATAGCGCCTGGGGGAATTAGGAGGCACTCAGGTTCGATCCTAGGGGAGGGGAGGGCAGGTCCAATTTCTTGGATCAAGAGCTCTTCACTGGTACTAGAAGACGTCTTTTGCGGAGCAGAATCAGATAGCAGCAGTTGTTGGTGTACAGAAGTCTTGTGTTTAAACGTTCGCTTGACCTTACTGTACAACCTACTATGTTGATACCGACAAGCTGTGGAATAAGACACTTATGTGTAGTCCAGGACACTTATTATAGGAAACGTTTCACCCCGAGTGGCTTCTTGAGTCCTAATTAGAACTGAAGAAACCACTCATGGCGAAACGTTCCCGAACTTTACAAATGTGTCTTTGTTCATAACAGTGTCTGAATTTAGCTCCACAATATAAGCTTAAAAAAAATTCCAGAGGCCTGAAAGCATTTCTCAGGTTAACTAATTTTTGCATATGTCGCGTTAATGTACGATTTATATATTGTCTTGGTGATATGCTTGGAGAAGTGCTTAATCCCACATCTTTTGCCTTGCCTTATGTGTGCAGCACCTCTGCTTCCAGGCCGTATTCCACATCCGGTCTTTCCATGATTTTGCATTTATAGTACTGAACTGAAGAAGGTACATTTTTGACAACATTTGTATGAGGTACAACAATGAAGGGAGAGGAAGATGGAATGAGGGGATGAGAGAAGAGTGAGGGGTGGCTGTGTTATGCGTGTGACGGGAGGGTTATGTGTAATGGGAGGGTTATGTGTGATGGGAGGGTTGTGTGATGGGAGGGTTATGAGTGATGGGAGGGTTGTGTGTGATGGGAGGGTTATGTGTGATGGGAGGGTTGTGTGATGGGAGGGTTATGAGTGATGGGAGGGTTATGTGTGATGGGAGGGTTATGTGTGATGGGAGGGTTGTGTGTGATGGGAGGGTTATGTGTGATGGGAGGGTTATGTGTGATGGGAGGGTTGTGTGATGGGAGGGTTATGAGTGATGGGAGGGTTATGTGTGATGGGAGGGTTGTGTGTGATGGGAGGGTTGTGTGTGATGGGAGGGTTATGTGTGATGGGAGGGTTATGTGTGATGGGAGGGTTATGTGTGATGGGAGGGTTGTGTGTGATGGGAGGGTTGTGTGTGATGGGAGGGTTATGTGTGATGGGAGGGTTATGTGTGATGGGAGGGTTATGTGTGATGGGAGGGTTGTGTGTGATGGGAGGGTTGTGTGTGATGGGAGGGTTATGTGTGACGGGAGGGCTATGTGTGGCGGGAGGGTTATGTGTGATGGGAGGGCTATGTGTGACGGGAGGGTTATGTGTGATGGGAGGGTTGTGTGTAATGGGAGGGTTATGTGTGATGGGAGGGTTGTGTGTGATGGGAGGGTTATGTGTGACGGGAGGGTTATGTGTGATGGGAGGGTTGTGTGTAATGGGAGGGTTATGTGTGATGGGAGGGTTGTGTGTGATGGGAGGGTTATGTGTGACGGGAGGGCTATGTGTGACGGGAGGGAGGGTTATGTGTGACGGGAGGGAGGGTTATGTGTGACGGGAGGGTTATGTGTGATGGGAGGGTTATGTGTGACGGGAGGGTTATGTGTGACGGGAGGGCTATGTGTGACGGGAGGGCTATGTGTAATGGGGGGAGGGAGGGTTATGTGTGACGGGAGGGAGGGTTATGTGTGACGGGAGGGTTATGTGTGATGGGAGGGTTTTGTGTGACGGGAGGGTTATGTGTAATGGGAGGGAGGGAGAGTTATGTGTGACGGAGGGCTATGTGTGACGGGAGGTTTATATGTAATGGGAAGGAGGGTTATGTGTGACGGGAGGGTTATGTGTGACGGGAGGGAGGGTTGTGACGTGAGGAAGGGTATGAGTGTAGGGAGAAATGAGAGGTGTGAGGGGTTAGGGGAGGAAAGAGCGTAAATATGAGGGGAAGCGAGAGATGGAGGGGAGATAGAACTAACACTGCATGTGAATACAAGGGATGATGATGAGGGAAGACAAGGCACCGAGGGGAACCACACACACACACACATATTTGCACCGCCTTGTACGTAAACACAGTGTCCGCCATTGTTTGTGTGAATACCATGTGTCCTAGCCTTATATACACAGTGTCCCACCCAGGTATACATATACAGTGTCCAAGATGTGAGAGCAGCATATAAACCTTGCTGTTTTGAAACGAGTAAAACATAATTATGTAATAAAATAAAAAATAGGTACAAAATAAAACAAAAGTATGCAATAAAACATACAATAAATTAGTACATAAACACGACCAAGAAAGGCTTTATTCTTAAAAATAAATTAATTTTAATCGCTATATATGTGTTTGTGGTGTATATAAACATTATATACTCGTATGTAGAGTATACAAACAATATCCACTCGTACGTAATGTATAGCAATTCTATACATTTGTATGTGGCGTGTATAAATAAGAAAACACAAGAAAGAAGGAACAGTGCAGCAGGCCTACTGACCCATGCGAAGCATGTCTATGTCCCCTCCCCCCGGATTAGCCCAATGACCCACCTAGTCAGGTCACTTCCCCTTAAGGAAGGAGTACGGCATCAGACCTAGTAGCACAAGCTAGTCAGGTCTAACTCTCACCCACTCATGCATTTATCTAACCTATTTTTAAAACTACACAAGGTTTTAGCCTGAATAACTGTACTCGGGAGTTTGTTCCACTCATCCACAACTCTATTACCAAACCAGTGCTTTCCTATATCTTTCCTGAATCTGAATTTTTCCAACTTGAAACCATTGCTGCGAGTCCAGTCTTGGCAGGAAATTTTCAGCACGCTATTTACATCCCCTTTATTTATTCCTGTTTTCCATTTATACACCTCGACCATATCCCCCCTAATTCTACGCCTTTCGAGAGAGTGCAGATTCAGGGCCTCAGTCTGTCCTTAAGTCAAGAACTAATATGGTTGTTCTTTTAATAATTGTAGGATAAATAAAACAATGAAGACCGAGGCTGGAGGTGGGAAGGTAAACATGACGTGACGGTGTGTTGACCATCCCCTTAAATATAAATATATATATATATATATATATATATATATATATATATATATATATATATAATATAATATATATATATATATATATATATATATATATATATTGTAAATCAATAATTAAAAAAAAGGTATAAAGTAATGCGAAGCGAAGTTATCATGACAGCTAACTGCTTGTCAGTAGTTAAGTCTGGGGTTAACAAGTGGAGGCGGGAAGTAAAATTAGTAGCAGTAATACCCCGACCAGTCTCACAGCACCAGCAGTAGGGATAAGACTTTCACCAGGAGTGGGTCATAACAATAGTAGTAGTAACGCCTTCTCCAGTCTGGTAGCGACACCAGGAGGATTAAACCGTAAGATGGATAGATAGATGTATGTATGTATGTGTGTATGTATGTATATGTATGTGTGTATGTATATATGTATGTGTGTATGTATGTGTGTATGTATGTGTGTATGTATGTGTGTATGTATATGGTGTCTAAGATACTTTCCTTAGTGATTCCCTGGACAAATCGTGGTAATACAACGTTCCAACAGTAAACAATTTAACAATGGGGGCGAATAATTAAAATTGCTCAGTGTTACTGACTACCTTCAACCGTTGTAACATAACTAGTGAAGAAATCTTTCCTTTCCAGCACTCCGCGTGGAACCCTCAGCTCTAAAGCAGTTGTTAGCAGATGATCACATTAGGATGAGCAACACTGAGAAAGAGCTGGTGTAGTCATCTCTGAGGAGGACAGGAACACCATAATGATGATGGATCTCCTTAATGACGCACCTACGTCTCCATCTCTGCAGACAACCCGCTTACCGAAACGTCTTCAGAAACCGACCAGTATCTTCAAACGTTCTGAACGAGGAAGGAGGCTTACAAACCCGCTACCTGCCAACCCAAAACGGTATGATAGCATTTATCTTTGTTGGACATTTTTTTCATGTTTGTAGCTTTGTGTTCCTCTCGTGCACATGCATATATTTTACTGCCAAAATCGGTGAGGATTTGCATGGTCAAGCTGCTGTGTAAATACCACAACCAGTACTACTACCAAAGCGACACCTGCTTAATGTTCTCTTTAACATCCACAAGGCTGAGGTACACCTGCCCTCACACCCATCACCTGGGGTACAAGCACCAGCACTCATAAATTTGAAGAGGTTCTGGCAAAATACTTTACTTTAAAATTAATCACTAAGTGGTGCACACCTTGGCAACCCCAGCGATCACTTACCACGATGACATTACTGGCACCTTCACATGCCATCCCCCACACTTCCTCCCACACCTCCACATGCTGCTGTATAGCCCTTGTGGCTTAGCGCTTCTTTTTGATTATAATAATAATAATAACCTCCACATGCTAACACACACACACACACACACACACACACACACACACACACACACCACACACACACACACACACACACACACACCTCTCTTACACATATCTCCCACCCCCACATACTACATTCCACAATTCCATCCCAACACCCTCCCCAAAACACAACATACACCACCAGACAGTAATCCCACAAGGCTAATGGAAAAGCGAGGTATTTGCCTTGCTCCCCAGTTCCTCCTAGTTATCCTGCCTTTGTCTCGTGTGCTCCAAGAAGGGTTCAGTGTACGAACTGTGGGGGTTTAACGTCTCAAGGAAGGGTTCAGGGTAAGAAATGTGGGAGGTAGGGGGGGGGGTTCAACATGTCAATTAAGGGCTCAGGCTACGAACTGTGGGGAGGTTCAACACGTGTCAAAGGGGGGGGGTCAGGGTACGAACTGGGGGTGGGAGTATGGGGTTCAACCCTGGAAAGGTATAAAAGCGTCTCAAAATAATGGGTTAAATTTTACCAAGGGCTCAGAAGGCTTTAAAATGTCCCAAATGAAGAGCTCAAGGGGTGTGTAATTGCAAACGAACTATTCAAGATGCGATGTAACCACAGGGGGAGTTGAATAATAGCTCTAGGCCTTTCATGGTCACTACACATGTGCTACTCATTTCTGCAACATTGCAAGCACCTGATAAATTGACTTCAACACGAAAGGCCTAGAGCAATTATTCAACTAGGGGAAGGGGGCAAACACGAGTTTTAAAAAGCGTAAGCAATGTCCTTGCTTTTCTATTACTTTTCCAAAATAGTTAAATATCGCAGCTGTTTGTGGAGTAGGCAGTTAAATCTTTAAGCCTAAGAAAATCCTTGTTTTAACATAGGCTTCGTAATCTAGAACTGCATTATTCACGGAGGTACATTCATCGTAACATAAACCCGGGGCACATGTAACTGATTTTTGTGATGTGGTTTAACCTACATTCAGCACCATTTGAGTGTAGATTAAACCGCATCTATCACAAGCAGGTGGATCGCACATCCACCATTCTACTGTAATAAGTAGATGAATGGTTCACAGAACCGACACGTTGATAAATTAGACACATGTGCAGCTCTTGGGTATCTTTATTAATGAAACGTTTCGCCACACAGTGGCTTCATCAGTCCATACAAAGGAGAATCTTGAAGGACAGGAGGAGAATGAGGTAATCAGTCCCTCAACCTTGAGTCGATGTGGTCAGTCCATCAATCTTGAATAGAATACGGCATACGTGCGGAGAAGGAGCTTATAAACCTACTTCCACATTGAACAAATGTGACACCGCCTATGACTGCTGCACCTCTCCTGCCAACGGTTTATAAGCTCCTTCTCCGCTCGTATGCCGTATTCTATTCAAGATTGATGGACTGACCACCTCGACTCAAGGCTGAGGGACTGATTACCTCATTCTCATCCTGTTCTTCATGCTTCTCCTGTGTATGGACTGATGAAGCCACTGTGTGGCGAAACGTTTCATTAATAAAGATACCCAAGAGTTGCACATTTGTTTAATTTATCTACTGTAATAAGGCCTGCAGACTCGCAGCCACCACAAGCAGGTGGATCAGTCTTTTCCTGTAGGAAGATGTTAGGTTCCTTCTCGGAAAATTCACTTGGCATAGAAATATTTTTCTTGGCCCCTTTTGTTAACACAGTTCCGTAAAAAGTTCTGTAAAAAGTGCGCCTCTCCAGCGGGGTTCCTTGACGCTGGTGAGAGGCTCTTGATCTAGGGAATTGGATCTGTACCCAGTTCCCTGAATTGAGTCTGAATACCTTCCATCCCCCCTCCCACACGCGCTGTATAATCCTATGGGTTTAGCGCTCCCCCATAATGTAAAGTGCTGTTATCAGTTCTGTCATGTCACGCATGTTCTTTATTGGCTTTGTTCTGACACTCGTCCCCTCAAGGAAGGTTCCTTGATGTTGGTGAGGGGCTCTTGATTTAGGGAATTGGATCTGTGCTCCAGTTCCCCGAATTAAGCCTGAATGCCTTCCACATCCCCCCCCCCCAGGCGCTGTATAATCCTCCGGGTTTAGCGCTTCCCCCTTTATTATAATAATAATAATAATTGACACTCGTGAAACAAATTAACTGATTCGCTCGTTGTAGGGCTTTAACTAGATAGTTTGTAGATGAATGGTTCAGAGAACCGACATGTTGATAAATTAGACACATGTGCAACTCTTGGGTATCTTTATTGAGGAAACGTTTCGCCACACAGTGGCTTCATCAGTCCATACAAAGGAGAATCTTGAAGAACAGGAGGAGAATGAGGTAATCAGTCCCTCAACCTTGAGTCGATGTGGTCAGTCCATCAATCTTGAATAGAATACGGCATACGTGCGGAGAAGCTTATAAACCTACTTCCACATTGAACAAATGTGACACCGCCTATGACTGCTGCACCTCTCCTACCAACGGTTTATAAGCTCCTTCTCCGCTCGTATGCCGTATTCTATTCAAGATTGATGGACTGACCACATCGACTCAAGGTTGAGGGACTGATTACCTCATTCTCCTCCTGTTCTTCAAGATTCTCCTTTGTATGGACTGATGAAGCCACTGTGTGGCGAAACGTTTCCTCAATAAAGATACCCAAGAGTTGCACATGTCTAATTTATCAACTAGATAGTTGTACAAAACGAAGTATCCTCAACATAGCTTGTTGTACAAAGCGTGATATCACTTCAGTAGTGTTGACAGTACATTAGAGCTCTAGTCAATCAACTATAAGCTTAAAGACGATATGCTTAAAATATTCACTTAACTTTATAATACTTCGCTGGATTCTGCTTGCTTTGGAGGGGTTCAAGACAGCACGAATTTAACTGACAGTTTTAAGGGAGTTTCAACCCTGAAAAGTTTTTGTAGCAAGACAAATCTACGTTATACTCTACGGTATAACCTCTAAGAACGAGAGGGGACATTATTCCCTCGTATATATGAGAAACTAGACACAACATCAACAAGCGGTAGATTCACAATTGCCAGTGATCTTCTTGCACAGTCCCTTAACGATGTCCTCAGATAGCTCCAATGTGTCCTCAGGGTGGCTTTAGATACCTCCAGAGGGTGACCTCAGATAGCTGCGGAAAGTAACCTCAGAAAGCTCCAGACGGTGACTTCAGAGCTGCTGTGGGTGACTTCAGAGCTGAAGAGGGTGTCATATCCGTGACAGATTTCGAGAGTTGTACTCTAGCAGCCCGGCCTTTGGTCAGGTTTCCTTGTTAACTGTCTGCTAGCGGTCCGCTAGCTCAATCAAAACCTGGTTTATAAGGAGCTTGCAGGAGATTTTACACCTCCAGTTTCCTCTTGAAAACATTAAACAGTGTTTGGGCAATACTTTTGGTAATGTTAGTTTTGTGTAACGGATGCTTAGTGTTCAATTATTTTGCCTATTATGTTCCAGCTCTTCACTGGATCAAAAGCTCCAGCTGTGGGTCACATAACTAAGACCCGCGTCAGGAAATTCTTGTCATGTTTCCTGACAAACCTTACCTGGCCTTCACTACATTTTACTTGACTATCTATGCTATCACTACAGTAAGTTATGGATTCGAGTATTCAGGTTTGAGACCTGATGTTAGTGTATCTTCCATGTATACATTATCAGGTATGCCTCTTCTCCGTTCCAGAGAGCAATTAAAGTGCTTCGAAGCGTTCCAGGTAGATCGGATTAATTCTAGAGTGATTGTGCTTGTAATATGATCTCTGTTCATTTTCTAGCTCTTTCCCGGTCTGACTTTCCGACCCCAGACTATTTGAGTCCTTTGAGCACCATTTCTTCGCAAAATTAAAATTGTCGTTGCTACCTTGTTCAGAAAGTTATGGCCTCCCCTGACATTTTCTTAGACTGACTTCATTTCCTAACCAAGAGATCATTTGGAATAATTATTCTGAAGTCTTCACGTTCTCATTGATGGTCTACCTGATATTTTTTTTTATATGGCACTCGTTTAAAAATCTTAATTCTCTTATTTGAGCATTTTCATTTGCTCACTGGAAAAACCTTGTCTAATTTTTCAGTCTTCTACTGAAGCGACTTTCATACATATTTTGGTAGTCCACAAAAATATGAAGCTACGGTTGGTGTTTACTGTCTAAAAATAAAAATGCACAATACCGTGACTGGAATAATACACAAATAACCCTCGTAGGAAAGGAGCTTACGACGACGTTTTGGTCAGACTTGGGCCATTTACAAAGTCACACTTGCAAATTGTCCAGTTCGGACTGAAACGTTGTCGTAAGCTTCTTTCCTATGAGCGAGTTATTTGTATATAGTGGAATGATAGTTACTGGCGGACGAAACGTTTCCTTGATAGTTACCTAACGATGCCCCGGTTTCTTTTATACATATAATCTAAAATCATGTTGATTTCGGTTTAGGTAAATTTTTTTTTCCATGGAAACCCTGAAATTGACGTCCGAACACTTTCAAAAATATGTGGTGTTAGCCAAACTGGTGTGTAATACTGAGAGTTTTGTTGCCTTGTGAGGAACGGCTACATCTGTACTTTAGGACCTCG